TCATAAAAGTCTGTTGAAAAATTCTCTATTGTAAGATTTGATGTGTTTTCATCTCTATTTTCCAGCGATGAAAACCGCAATTTTCTATCTGGTTTCTATCAAGAGTTATTCAAAAGCTATTCGGCCGCTTTTTCTCTCGTTACTGTTATCGTTACATATCATAACAAATAGTTGTTTATCGAAATTTCATTATTATGGTATTAGCTGAAGTATGACGATACATACAGAAAGAAAATTTCATCAAACTTTCTATGCGAAATTGAGCTACATTCACCACTATTTTTGTTATGCCCTGAATATATATAATATCTTTGTATGGTCCAAAGCTTCGATCTCTTATAATTTTGATTCGAAATGATTCATATAGTTTTTAATTCGTTTCTTCCTTCCTTTGATTTTCAATTTTATTACCTTTTACTAATGTTTTTTTCTTTTCTACTGTGTGAGTCAACGTTGGAAAAAATAACGTGCTACACAACGTGTATGTGCAGTCTTATTTCACTGGCGTAAATTTTTTAGTCGATTATTCGATTTAAATTATGCTTTATTTCGTTATTTTAGAGTTTTTCAACTAATATCTATATGGAACAAATTAAACGATCACAAAGCAACATTAATGATGATTATCATGATAGCAAAAGGATAAGAATAAGCAGTAAAATTTAAATGCGATTTTTTTATGATGATATTCTTTGTTTTTTTCTAGCAACACAAATCGAGATAAACTGGTTAGTGTAAAAAAAAACAGAAGTAATGTATTTGTTTTTGATAACTATCACTTATTTTTCAGTTTGATAGAAGAGTTCATTAGTGTTTTCGAAGATCTTTCTAATGAACTTATTTATGACATATTTGAATATCTCGATTTTCATCATGTATTTGAAGCTTTTCATGACCTTAATAAACGATTTCAAAATCTTCTTATTAATTCAAATCTTCCAATTAAAATCAATATTTCATCAATGTCGAAATATAGATTTCAACGTTATTTAACATATTTTATTATACCTCAAACTTATCGAATTAAATCATTTCGACTATCGAATCCATTTGCTGCCGATATGTGTTTGTTATTATTTCCAATAATGACAAACTTAACTCGACTTGAATCATTAACTATACATAATATTGAATCTGATTACGTTGAAGGAATTATAAATCATTTATCTTTATTACCTCGTTTATCTTCACTAGTCATAATATCCATTGATTATATAAGAAATCAAAATGATATTTACCAGAAAATATTTCGTTTACCGACACTGAAATATTGTCAAATTCTTTTGGAATCATTATGCCATCGAAAACCAATGTCTACTGATACAAATGAATTCAGTCCTATTGAACATCTTGTCATCAACAATAAGGTTTCACTTAACCAACTTTATAGTTTATTATCTCGTGTTCCTCAACTACAACATTTATCATTGGATCATTTATGTGAACCTCGATGGAGTCAAACATCTTTGAATTCGATTACTTTACATTATTTAACACATGTGTCGCTGAAATTGTATTCTGTCAGTTTTGATAATTTTGAATCATTCATCAAACATTTTTTTAATAAAGTTCAAATTTTACGTATTAAAGTAGGCTATATGCCATATTTCAGTTCTAATTTGGAATATTTAAATGCTAATCGTTGGGAACAATTAATTTCAACTCACATGCCAAATCTATATATCTTTGACTTCGAACATCAATATCGAACATGGGGTTACTTTAATGATCGACAAACCTATGAGGCTCAGATCAATATGTTCAATTCACTATTTTGGATAAAACGACAATGGTTCTTTGAACATCAATATTGTCAAATTAGAAATTCGACTTATGCTATTTTTTACTCGACAAATTCATATAAGTAGAAATACATTCGTCTTTTTACAATAAATATAGTTGTGTAATTTTACTTAATAGGAAAGAATTTTATATTTTGGATGAAGATTTGGACAAAAACATAGGATCACCTAGTCTTGAAATTGAAGAAAATCCAGCTCATCATGTTGGTATTTATAGTATAAATGCAATGGAAAAATTCATCGGCAACTTTCGAAATGCTACTAAACTTACTCTTTTCGATACATTTGATAAACCTCGTAATTCAATTGTAAGAAGTCTTAATCGTATCATGCCTTTGAAACAACTGTCTACACTATCCATTGATTGTCATCATTTTCCTTTTGATCAAATAGTCGAACTTCTTTATTCAACACCGAATGTTCATACACTGAAGCTTCATTCAATATTACTTTATCGAATAGATTCTGTTTCAATGCAACAGAAGCAAATATTTCAACTAGTGTCCATTACAAATATTGTTAAACATGTGATAATTGCAAAAGAAAGTACAGTGGAAAAAATTCAATTACTTGTTGCCCTTTTTCCTCGTTTAGAATATCTTACAATTAATTTATACCGTGATGATTTGGAAACAATAGCAAGATTTTTATTATCAAAACTTAATAATAACACTCGTCATTTATCATTATTATGTATTTCAAAACAACGTAAAGATTTCTTAGCAAAATTGAGAACATTGATTGAAGTAGAAAAACTTCTTGATGACTTTATAATAAGAATTATCAATCGAAAACTCTATTTATGGTGGTAGATTTCATTTCTTTTATACTGATTTATTAATCTTGACTATTAATTTTTTTTTAAATAAACATATCATATATTAATAATCTCATCTCTCTCATTTTCGTTACAATTGTGAATTGTATAAATAATTTTAAATATTTAAGTAAACATCCTATTTGAAGGAAATATTCAAAAAAAAACAATCTCATGAAGGAACGCATCCAGCTGTCGTACGCATTTCGACCGCAGCTTTTGACTGTTAGTAAGACTCAGAATATCCTAAAAGAGTTCATACTCATGGATGTATCCATTTTCGATTTAACCTCTTCTTGCAATACACACCGTGTTCATCAGAAAATCTTTAAAGACTACAGGCAATATTATTTTGTGGTTTTTAAAAATCGTTTTGATTTTCTCAAAAAAAAAATTGTAAAAATAAATGAAACATAATAGAAGATCCGGTATTTTCTGTTGGAGAGGAGTTTAGAAAATTTGATTGATAATATCAAAGTTTAACTTCGAAAATGGTAGGTACAACAGGTTCTCATCATCAAATATAAAATCTACATTGAGTGTATCTCGAAAATATACTTCACCTACAGTAGCTACACAATTATTCTAAAATCTTTCAATCATTAGAGTAAAAACTTTATTTAAGAAAAAACAAACAAATTTTTAAAGTTTTTCGAATTTTTTATTTGTTCTACAAAAACTAATCACATATTAATATTTTGATAACTTTAAATTTTTCATAATTAATTTAATAAACGATGGACAAAAGTATGTAAATATCGTTATAATAAACATATAAATTAAAATAATAAATAATGATAAAAAATTTGATGTATCAATTGTATTTATATTTAAATTAATTATTCCTGTTAATATATTAGCTAATAAAAATATATCTAAACCTTTTTGATTAATATTTTTAATTAAAATTGATTCAATTAAATAACCTTTTCTTAATAATAACCATTGTATTATACTAAAACATCCTAAACACATACAAGCTAAACCAGTTGTACTTGTAATATAAGATAAATTACATAATTTTCTTGATGGATTATAACTAATTGTACATAATATAAACATAAAAATAAAAAATATAATACCCATATATATAAATTTTTTTTTATATTCATTATAAATTATAAATTTTCCAATCAAAATTCCAATTAAATATAAACAAATATATCCACTTAAAGAAAATATTCCTTCACGATTAGCATCAATAAAATTTTTTCTTATATTATTTGATGATTGTATAAGATAATTATCAAATTGAAAATATTTTAATAAAATAAATTCATGAAATAATAATATTAAAAATATTAATAAATATAAATTTTTTATTATTTTTAATAAATAATAACCAATTAATTTCATAAAACATAATGTTAAAAAAAAATTCCAATGTATACCATATTCACTTATATGTTCAATATATGAAAAATATTTTATTAATATTAAACGTATTAAACCTAATAAACATAATATTAAATTTTCAAAAAATAATTCTTTTATATTTATTTGTTTATTTCGAACTTCTAAACTAACAAGACCATGTGATATAGCAAATAGACCAACACCTAAATCCATTATTGAATAACCATAATTTTCTGTTTTAGCATAACGTCTTGGATATATAGAAAAATCAACTGCAAGTATACATATACATGTTGCTATTAATATTTGACCACGAAATAATTCAATTATATGAGAATATGATTGTTTATTTATTTCAATTGATTTTATTGATAAATTTTTTTTTGTAAAATAAATTAAAAATCCTATAAACCAAAAAATAAAATGAAATATATAACTTAATGATGATAATAAAGTACAAATTAATATCAATGGAATAATAATAAGAAAATTTTCAAAAAAAAAATTATATATTGAAATATATTTTATATTAGATAATGATAATATAGTAGATTTTAATATTTGACATAAAAAATATGTTGCACATCCATTTATTAATATAGAACCTGTTTCATAAAGATTTGTTCCATTTAAATTACTAATAAAGAATTCTTTTCGTTGACGATAATCATCCATTTTATCTGAATAATAAAATAAATTAAATTTTTTTACTATTTTAAACATAATCATCGTTTACAATAGAACAATGAAACTAAATTTTTGATAGTATTGATTTTACTTTTTTTTTTGTTATGGTTGAATAAATTTTAGCGAATTACATAAGAATCAGAGAAAAACGAAAAATCAATGCTTCAATTCGATTGGTTACAATTAATATCCAATCCCATGAATAGAGAATAAAAAAATTATATAATTGGCTCATTTGTTTCAATCAATATAAGCATAACAGTGAAAGAATAACTTTATTATCTTTTCATTTTTTTTAAATAAATACAAAGTATTTTTCTTGATATATTGAATTTATCATGGTTGAATCATCTGCTTCTTCGTCAAGTCTAGTTTCAGTTAATTCACCATCAACATTTCCTTTTTTTAAATGTACTTTTTTGGATAAAGATACAGGTAACAAAAAATATTATTTTATTTCTATTTCAAATAGATATTAATATATATAGTTTTATATTATAGATCTGAATGAAATACCAATATGGAATAATGATTTTGCAATATTACTTTCATATTGGCTTCAACAAAGAGCTAATCATGATGATATTTTTGGAAGGTATACTAACAAAGTTTTATTATTATGAAAATATCTAAATTCTAATAGCGAACTATTTCATTATCATCTTTTCTAGTTTTCGTTGGGCAAATGCAAATACAAATAGTTTAGGTGAAGTTGATCTTATAACTGATGCTGAGGTTAGTATATTTATTATAAACCAAAAATTAAAATCATTACTTTTTTTGTTGATAGCATATAAAAAAATTACTTAAAGTATCATTTAATAAACATAGTCAAATATCAATGATTGTACATCGTTTAGGTCGAACTATACTTCTTGATGAATTTGATGTACATTCACATTTATTACGTCTTGAAAAAGTAATAAATAAAATAAAAATTTACTTTTAATTAAAATTTTATTTATTTAGAATGAATGGACATGGTTTCGAGATTTTTTTCTTGATAATATTCTACGTAATATATCTGTTAAACATATTTATAAAAAAAATAAAACACGTGATGAACTTATACGAAAAGATCGTTTAGTTAAATTTTTATGTCAAAGGTATTTTTTTTTTTTATTTTTATGTTTTTTATTTTATTGATTTATTTCAATTAGTGTTGAATTACCTCATTTAACACGTTTAAATTCAACAAATAATGATGAATGTCAAACATCAACAAATGAAATAACTGCTGAAAAACTTCTTCAACAAATAAAAGAACTTGTTAATGCAAATAATTATATTGATGATGATCATAATCATACAAATTTAACTTCATCACCATTTCAACGAACAGTTAATTGGACATTTGAAAATATGAAAATGTTAATTGGTTCAGATTTACCAATTTTTGGTGATGAACAACATCCAGCTGTTAGTTTACGTTTAAGGTTATTAGAATTTTAGAGATGATAATTTTAATTTAAATATAATCTATCAAAAAATAAAAAACTTATTGTTTTTTTTTTTTGGTTCAATAGAGATATGAATAAACCTATTAATGTTTTAACTGGTATTGATTGTTGGCTTGATAATTTAATGTGTAATGTTCCTGAATTAGCTATGTGTTATCATGTTGATGGTATTGTACAATCTTATGAAATAGTTAAAACTGAAGAATTACCATATCGTGAAGGTTGTGAATTTCCACCGGATATTATACGTGATTTAGCTACAAATCTTCTTTCATTTCTTAAAGCAAATGCAACTAAAGAAGGACATACATATTGGTTATTTAAAGGTAAACAAAAAAAATGTTTTTTTTGAAAAACATATAATATTGAGATTAGGTCCTGATGATGATATTGTTAAATTATATGATTTAACAAGTTTATGTGATACAAATCGTGATGATAATCCATATACATTACCAGTTGCTACTTTATTCTATAAAATGGCTCATAATATGGTATCAAAATCTGATCATGAAACACGTTCAAAAGAATCTGGTACAATACGTACATTACTTAAACATTGTTTAGATATGCTTAATCCAGAAAAATTTCCTGAATATCATTGTGCTGCTGCATATATGATGTCTGATCTTTATATTGATGATAATGTTAGTGAACAAAGTTGGACATCAGATGGAAGTGATATACAAGATCCAGATTCATTAAATGATGATGTATAATAGAATAATACGTTTTCTTATTCTTTGGTTTTTCTTATATTTTCTGTTTTGTTTTTAGTTACCATTTGAACAAGATAATGATTCACATTCATATACTTGTGTTGATATTAAAACACTTACACAACCTCAACAACATCGTTTTCGAAAACATCCTGATGTTGAACGTTTAGCACCAATTCATGGAAATTTAGATAAACGTGCAACAGAAGCTTTAAAATACTTAGTTGAAGTAAGAATATGAAAGTTAATTATGTATATGTAATCGAAGATATAGCAATAGGACATGAAAGTTTAGATTAGATATAAATGAATATTTTGAACTCTTAGAAATGAAATAGATTAAATTTAAAATGCAACAATAGTTACGTAGTAAAGATCTGCAGTTCATATTGTTATGCTTATCCTTGTGTTTTGATTAATAAATTACTTGTAATCAAATGAATATCATATTTTCCATATAATTTGAATATGATGATTAATTTTTTCAGTTCTCTCAAACATATCTAAAAAACGAAGCATACAGTTTTTTAAATCAATAAAAAAATGGTTTTTTTCTTTTGTCTAATTTTTGAATAGGCTCTTCGAAGTAATACAATACATCGTCGAGTTCAAGCAACTACTAATTCTGATCAAACAAATGAACAAGATAAATCATCATCAACAACAACAATTAATAATGAAAAATCAAAAGTTATTGTTCCATTACCTTATCAAGGAACACGACATTCATCAAAAATTTTAATTGATAATAAAAATCATTTAACAAATGATAAACGTTTAAAATCAATTATTTTACATAAAGCAGCTGCTGCTTATTTTTGTCTTGTTGATCGTAATGAAAAAGAAAAAAATTATGGTTCTTGTTTACGTTATCTTCGATTAGCACTTAATTGTTATAGTAAGAAAATAATAAAATTAATTTTTTTGTTTTTTTTTGAAATAAAACAAACATTTTTATTTAAAAAAAAAAAAAAAAGGTGCAGAATTAAAACTTCAATCTATGGATCATAATAATAGTAGTACAGAATGTAAAAAATTATTATCATATATAATGAGTATTGCTGGTGATTGTCGATTAATGATTGCACATGTAACATCAACAGAAGAAGAAGAAAAACATCGTGAACAATATTATATAATGAATGATGTTGATCTTGAAATTCAAAAAGTTATTGATGAAGTTGGCATTAATGCTAATTCTTCAGGTAATTATTTTTGGGTGTGGATGTTTTATTTTAATTATTAGTTGTTTCTTTTTTCTATTAAGAATTTGCATGGGTTTCAGAATTTACAACAAATATTGATCGTAATCTATTTGCTAGTGTACATGCTTATGAATATGCAATAAATATAGTACGAAATCTTGGTGATCATGAAAAAAAACGTTTACATTTATTAACAAAACGTTTTGGAAATGTTAGAAATGAAATGGGTGTTTATTGGATGAATAAATGTGCAGAAGCTGTTAAAAATTTAGATCAAGAAGCAGCAAAAGTAGATTTTATTTTTCTGTGGAAAATATAATTTTGAAAATATTTTATTTAGGAAATAAAAGATCAATTTCGAAAAAGTTTTGAAAGTTTTGATGCTGGTATTCAAGCATTTGAAAAAATAAATGATATATCAAATATTGCATTATTACATTCAAATCTTGGACGTTTAATGAGATATTATGCACAATTTTATGTACCTATTGTAAATGGTATTCGACAAGAATTTTCTCAACAAGAACGACAAAGTTATCAAAAAGCATTTGATTATTATCTTCGAGGTTTAAAATTAGTTGAAAATCGTATTGATTTACATGAAGTTTATCGTACATTATCATGGGAATTATCAAATACTTATTTTACAATGGCAACATCACTTCAAGATTATGCACCATTAAGTACAATGTCACAAGATGATGTAAAATAAATTTTAAATTTTTGATTTTTTTTTGAATATATATTTATTTAGATTGAAAAAGAAATTATTGATTGTATGACACGTGCATTAAAATATCTTGATGTTGAACTTAATACTTCATCATCAGATCGATATTCTCTTGCTAAATATCGAGCTGCTACAATTCATCATCGTTTAGCTTCATTATTACATAATACTTTTCGTGCTCAAGTAGGTTGAAAAATCCTCCAAAGAAATAATGATTTATCTTTCGTAGATTTCATTAAAATTGAGAAAAACCTCAAAATAATGCTTTATAATTAGTTATAACCAATTATGTAAACTTTTCAACATTTATTTTTATATTCAGTTTTTAACGAAAAAAAAAAAAAACACAAATTTTGTTCTTTATGTTTCTATCTCATGAATATAAGATAGTAGAAAATTGAATATTAGTCTTATCCAAAACTTTATTTGTCTAAATTTGAAATTCAACACTTGTTGAAGAACTACAATATTAGTTGAAATGTCCATATTTTAACAGATACATTGCAATTAATTCATTGATTAATATTCTATTGTTCTATATTTAGAATAATGTAACTCGTCGAAAACGTTTACGTGCATTAGCATCATTACATTATCAAAAAGCTTTAGAATTATTTTCACCAAATGATAATCCACTTGAATATTTACGTCTTTTAATTGAAGAAGTTGCTTTAACAGATTTCGAACTTCAAAGTAATAATTATGACTTTTTTAATTTCTGATTAGTTTTTAAGTGGATCTTTTGAAAATTATCTTGACTCTAACATTGAATTCTAAATTTTAAAAGATTTATTTGATACATAAAAATTCACTCTTTTTTTTAAATTCAACAAATTCGAGATTTCTAGCTTGTATTATTGTGCAACAAGTGTAACGAGAGTCTATAAATTTCGATTAATAGGCTCTGAATTATATAAAAAAGTAGGTTTTGATCTACATGACTCAATGCAGTCAATCATACCTCTCTAGGCCTATGTTTTTGTGTTATTTCATATTGAAATTTTGTTTTTATTAACAGATGCAACAGATAATCCATCACGTTTAAAATATTCTCAACAAGGTTTACGTGCATCATTTCAATGTCAAGAATGTGTAGGTATTATTGAACAACATCGAACAAGTTCAGATCCTGATGATTATAATGAAACATTTTCACAAGAAGCACAACGTCTTTTATCAATATTAAATGGACGTATACAAACATTTCTTAAAGAAATGGTTAAAATATATAAAATAACAAATAATAAAAAAGTCATATATGAAGATTATAAAGAAATGTATAGTATATCATTACGAATAAATGAAACATCAATAACATTTTCAAAAGATTTATATGATGCAATTGAACGTTTAAAAAAGATTTATGAAAAAAATAATAGTGATTAAAGAAGAGTGTTTTTTTTTTTGTTCTATATAAATTGAATTTATTTTATTTTCTATACATTGTTTGTGTCTTCTATTTTTGTTTTGTTCTATTGATAAACATGATGATATGATCTAGTTTCAGATTCTAATCTAATGAAATAATGTTAGAAAAAAAATATAATGTTAGTTCATCGTCATCGATTATCTGAGAATGCAGAATTAAAATCTGAAATGCGTCGATTACAAATATCATCTAGATATTTATCAAATAGTTTATATATTCGATCAAGATTTTTTACAAAGTAAATTATTAAAAATCTATTGATGAATTTCATTTGAATGATTTTATTTTCTTAAGATTTAAACGATGTATCCTAACACGATATGGATTTTTTATTATTACAGCTTTATTGACAATTTTTATTAATGAAGTTTTATTTTATGAATGGCATCGGTTTCATTGGCCAGATATCGAGTCATTAGCAAGAAAGTAAGAATAAATTCATGAAAAATACAACTAAAAAAAATATTTTTTATTCGTATGTAATGATTTTGTGAATTATGATTAAAGATTATATTAAGATAAATGATTGTTGATTTTCATTCAGTCTTAAAGCTGCTTGAATATATAAGAATAAGTCTTTTTTTTTTTAATGGATTAAAAGCTTTCTGAAGTATATATGTTAATTGAAAATTATTTATTTTGAATGTTTTTATAGGCCTACTGTTGAAAAACTTCTTCTTGTTGCTGATCCACAATTAATTGGTGAAAAAGATGAAGGTTTTTTTGGATTAATTACAAGAAAGGATGCTGATAGGTATGAGCTTTTTTATATTATAATATGTGTTTCATTTATGTCGTTAGTAACATAGACGAAATGATCATTGGATGATATAATTTATCATAAAATCAGTTATTAATTAATTACATATAAAAAGTTGATTGACAATGGATAAAATTAAAAGATTTCACCTTGAATAAACTATTTTGACAATTTTTTACTTTATATGAAGAAGTATACTGTTGAATTTCTTTCATAAACATCAATAAAATAAAAGAGGTCATCTCAAATTTCACAAAAAGATGAATAACAGAGAATTCACTTGGTGTCTTTCTCCTGCTAAAAATCCAATAAATTTTACTAATTATATTCTTGCTTGTTGCTGATGACGCTGGAATGAAATACAGTGCTACTAACACCATCGTGATAATACATATTCAGTTTTTATCGATAGTTCATTTTCCTTCCTTAACAATAAATTCTCTTAGTAAAACAATATCAATATTCACTTGTACAGCTTGTTCTCAATTACAATAAATTGTTCGATGATGATCAAACAGCTTTTTCGTTCGTATGCTTTTGATCGAGATTCACCAACGAACAGCAAAGGATATAATTTGTATTCCAACTCATTATACATTGTACTGATTAAATAGGATATATTCGCTCGATAATATAAAATGAAGAAGTTATATAATAGATATAGAACATAGGGTTGAATTGTTATTTTAATCTTTCAATTGTTCTAATAATATGATTTTGTTTTTCTATAGGTATCTGGCTAAAACATTTTCTCAAGCAAATCAATATGTACAACCAGATTGGATTCTTTTTTTGGGTGACATATTTGATGAAGGTTTATCAGCATCAGATGATGAATTTAAACGATATTTTGATCGTTTTGATTCAATATTTCAATATGAAAATCGTGAACAAAAATGTATTGTTATTCCGGGTGATAATGATGTTGGTGGTGAATATTATGGTGATAAACAACCAATATTAAGACAACGTTTTCGAAATTATTTTGGTCGAACTATTGCTTTATATCGTCAAAATGATATTGAATATCTTAAAGTATATCGTTGAAAAAACAAAATCTATACTAGTTTTTTTTTTTTCTTAAAGTTGTGGTTTATTTTTATTTTTATTTAATTTCAGTTGGATATTGATATGCTCGAATCATATGTAGATGATAAACGTGCTGCAATTATGGAACAAACACAAAATCGTCCATTATCATCAACATTCCGTATCGTACTTAATCATTGGCCTTTATTAACACGTCCTGCTCGTTTTGTTAAACCATTTATAAATGAATTAGAACCAAATCTTATCCTCAAAGGTGATAGTCATCATGTATGTAAATTAATTTGACAATAAACTAAAAAGAATTTGTATATATATATATATGCATGTCTAGTTTTCTGTATATGTATACGATCGAATTAATATGACAAATCGTATCATAGCACGAGAATATTTACCACAATCAATTGTTTCAATAAATCTTGATCAAAAACGTTTTATTTATGAAATATCAGTACCAACATGTTCATATCGAATGGGTGTTAATAGAATTGGATATATTGTTCTTTTACTTGATAGTGGTAAGATTTAATAAAATAGATTATAAGAATAAAATATTTTATTTCTTTCAAATATTTATTTAGCTACTAAAACGGCTCATTTAGCTATTCTTTCAACACCAAGACGATATATATCATTATATTTTTATGCAGCTTATGGAATCTGTTTTGTGATTAATTTAATTTTAATATTATTATTTCCAAGACGATCTTTTTCGAAATGGTTAACTTTCAATCGATGATTAATTATTTGAACAAAGAAAGAGAATGAATTTTATTCAAAAAAAAAAAAAAATTTTTTTCTCTTTTGTTACTGAAAATTATGAATGTTTAATTTTGTGTAATTCTTTTGATACGAATAATTATATTATAATACAAAAAAAAAATATATAGATAATATTCTTTTTTTCGAATAATCGAATGATCAAGAGAATTTTTGCTTTATCAAAAAAATAGGATTAATGATACATTTCCAAAGACCAAACTCATAATGTGGTCTTATTGTGTATGAAAAAAACTTATGTAAAGACTTAAATTCAGCTGAAAAAAAAGTTACTAATAATTCTCTTAAGTGGATGTGGGTCTGAATGAAGAGAGGGTGTGGGTGAAGTGTGGAGTGTGGGTGGGTGTGGATGTTAATGAAGAGAAGACAAACAACCACCAACACGCTTCCCCACATTCACATCAACTGATGTAAAAGGCTAGTGATGATTCTTTCATTCGGTAACATTCTTCGCTCTTCTTTTTTTTTTTCAAGATTCACTATTTTCATGAGTGACAGCATATGGACACTTGTAAATCTGTTTTTACTTAGTTAGCCGTTTTCTTTGTTCTCAATATAAAGAAATAAAAAGAACGAACAATACACTGAAAAAAAAGTTGAGGACAAATATTTTCTTTTCGACAATATAAAGACACAGCATAGGCAACGATTCATACATTCACAACCTTGACTTTAAAGCACATTCTGATGAATAAATTTTATTTTTTCTCTTCTACAAGGCCTTTCTGTCAACTGACTAGATTAGCTGATCGAAGCTAAGATTTTCTCTCAATTTACAACAACGACGATAATAATTCATGATTTCAAAAATCGTAAATATCTTTTCTTATCATTATCACTTTAGATATAATTGACTTTTGTCTTTTTATTCAATAAGTTTTCAAAATTTCGGTAAATGACAGAATAGCAATATAAGAGTAATTAACATCAGTATGTAGTATTACAATCAACCTAACTTTTTTATTATAAAGTTTTTACAAAACAATTGTAAAATAAATACGATAGGTTGAAAAACGAATAAACCATATATATGAATATCATATTGAACATTTCAGAACTGTAGGCACTTCTTTTTAGCCAACTAATATGCTCCTTTAGTTCATTTATTCACGACTATTATGTTCTTAGGTCTTCATCTTTTGGTTTCTATTTTCACCGATTCCATCGAGTACGTAAGTCTTTGTGTACTCACACATTGGCAAATAGGTGTTGTTCTTCTATTCGGCTAATTTATCTGCCTAGTGGAATACATAAAAGAAAGCGTCACACTATCTGTATATCGATAATTAATTTTACTCTCTTTATTATACCTGTCAAAGTAGAATCATTTCGAATGAAGACACAAGATTTGAATTACACTAGCTAAGTCTTGGTGAAGAGAAGTCGAAATGAGATTCTGTTTATGATAATTGACATTGTGACAGTGACGCAATCAGCTTTATAAATAGTTTTAGGTACTAATATAAGAACATAATGCTTCGAATTCTGCATATATAGCATAAATCACCAGAAATTTCAACGTGCGTTTTCTCAAGAAAACTTGACAACATTTAATTAATTACGTAGAATCAATTGTTGATGATTCAAAAAAAGTACACAAACAAAAAAAAAAGTGTTTCAAGGAAAAAGATTTAAGAGTTCCACTGTGAAATTCGTTCTAATTCTATAACATATAACCTATGAACAGTTTTGAATCATTATATTGAGCAGTTCTACATTATACTTGAATTTTATTTATGTAGCTGAGTGGATAAACTGATAGTCGGACAAACATTTTCAAGAGTCAATTCAGAAAAGATAATGATTTAAGTATTTGTTGATGAAAACAATACATAGCGAAAGCTATTATCAACAACTGGCAAATTTCAAAAACAATTGCTGGCTACGATTCATTAATAGATTAAAATAAATTGTAGTTATCGCTGTTTGTACAAGACTTTGACGCATAATTTATCAACATGTGTTACAATGTTTTTTAGATTGAAAATATATATTATTGATACAGATACACAAAATGTCTCGTTTCCAATTAATAGAAAATAGTTCTCAACCTGTTCAAAGTATTGATATTATTAATCCATCAAGAGAAATTTTAACACAAAATCAGGAAGGTAATACTTTGGTATGGTATGATACATCATTAAGATTGACAAATCAAGATATTATCAATACAAAACAAGCGTTGCGTTCTGTTAATGATTATGTTCTATTATTTGATGATGAAGAAAAATGCGTTCACTATATCAATTCAATACATACTGATAACAGTTTCATGGTTATATTTGGTGCAAGTTCAACAACATTTCTTCCACGAATACATGAATTAAAACAAGTCAAAATCATATGCATATTTTGCATGAATGGAGA